GTGATTTGTAAGCTTGATTTCTAATTGCAGAGATTCAGACTCAGATGACAATTCTATTATAGAATGTGAGTATTGTACTGCAACAAATGTTTCCAGTTGATGCTTTCTGGTTGTGCCGTTCCGTAACATTTATGGCCAATCAGATGCGCTCTTAGTGACCTGTGTTCCCACACCCGTTTAGATTATTTGTGGCTAAAAATGCCCCGAAACAAATACCAGTTGTGATACTGGGAWACTGGTATCAACACTCCACTGAATGTGTTACAGAATGAAAAACACTGAAGACCCCTGCAATAAAATGATTGATGACATCATTTCCTTTCATCTCTTGTACTGTTTACAACTGATAGTTAGATATTTTCAGGCATGTTGAAATGATGATCCACATTTAGTAAACATCCCTAAAGCACAAGTGGATAACGAGAAAAAAAGATTTCYGTTTATTGCTTTAAGTTGATACGGAACATGGTTTTTTAGATCAATAGATTTGCCTCAGTTTTARCAGAAAAAAGCTGCCTATGATCGACACTAGAGGGCGCTGTGATCCCTCTGAGATGAGAGCTGGSTGGGCACTGACAGTGACTGCTGCAGCTGAGCCTCAGCAAACTGACCAGCTGGCTGCTCTCAGAAACAAAAGGGCTTGGAGGCTTGGCAAGAAACACAGAAACACTGGTATTTGCCGGGGGTGGGGGGTGTGGGGGTCAGTGGGCTGTAATCAGAACGAACACTGAATCCTGCCTGCTCAGCAGCAAACACAACTACACACATACACACACTGCGTTTAATCTAACATCCAACGCTCCACATGCGCCGTCTCATCGACAGGCAAAGTATTTCCTCCACTGGTCTGAACTTCACCTCCTCCGTTCATCCCGAACATTTAGGATGTTCGCAGTGAACTGTGAGGCTTGACCAGAGCTCGGTTACGCAAACTCTTAAATTCCTTCCTCACCTGTGTACGGTTCGATTTATTACACCCCTTAGCACAGATTTAGAACAATAAAGTTGAGCTCTTAGCAGAGGGAAAACAGGCTATGAAGACAGGAAGTGAATTCAACCCGAACATCAACTTGTCTGTGCCTGAACAGGTGTGCACTGAGAAAATGTCCCTTACCTTAAAGGCTCTGTTATGGAGACTGAATAAAGCGTGAAACGTCCCGTCCAGCAGGCCCATGGAGTCAGTGTTGAGCAGTAAAGGTGAGACCAGAGTGACGTGTTTCGCCCCGGACCACGGCTTCAGCAGGCTCGATGCCCACTGCTCTGTGTCGCCTCCCACGTTGTCTAAAATAAAGTCAAACCTGGTGGGGCGAGCACAGGTCGAAGATTTTGAAGAAAGCTTAAAAAAATCCAAGCACAATTACAAATTTAAGGCACAGGTTTTTTTTTTTATTTGTTCTACTGAAATCTAAAGGTTAAAGTTTTAGAGGAAAACAAGGAATTGGTCAGTGGGCAGAGTGGACGTTCATATTATATTTTAAATCCAACCTCCATTGGACTCCAGTGTGAACGCATTATGAAGTCAATGCTACACGTTAGCATGTCCATTCTGAAGTTGGTCAATCAGAATCGATTAAATAATTATCGGACCTGTTTGTTTAGTTCAGTGTTTACAATTGAGCCCGTTTCTGGCTGGCTGCTATCAAAATGAGGATTAAGTCCAAAAATGGAGAAATAGGCAGATATAGGGTTTTGATTTAAAGGTGTGCAAAAATAGCATTTCGTCAAAATATAATGAATTAATGCCTTATCAATGTATCATTTGAATGAACTATCTAATTCTGAAGCATTTTTTGAGCAGTAGCAACAAAAGAAACTGATTTTGAGAAAAAAAATGCCTTAAAATTTTGAATTTTTCCATGTGAGCTAGAAATGTTTTTGTTTCTTTCCAACTGGGAAATCTTAATATACAACTAGACATGGGTTTTTACGATGTAAAAACAAGTGCGCATTGCCTTGTAGCATGTCCTTGCCTGCAGCAGTGGACTTGCAGAATGAAATGTGACCAAGTTCAAATGTGTTTCCTATACCAGCTTGTGCTTGTCAAGTCAGCAGGTGTTTGTAATGAGGGTAATTGAGTGACAATATGAAGTTTGTAGAGATTTTCTGTTAAAGTTACTGTTGCTGGATTTCGAACCCTGATCTCCTACATGAAAGCCCATGGCACTAACCATGAGACCATTAGAGCTGTGGTAGAGAATGAGGCCAGGGTTTGGTTTGTATGTGTGCAGAAAGTGGCCACATTGCCAATGTAATGGTTGTCACTAAATTGAAAAATATTACAACAATAAAACAATATTAGGACAATATTATAGTAAAACATCAAAATACAATCATATTAGTATTGTAAACACTGAACTATTGAGATTAAATATTATTAAACTATGGTGCAGTTCTGAGTAGATACAGCAGGGGCAGTATTGCACCAATACAAGGCTCCATTGACCCCCATTATAAATCATTAAGCATTAATATTTCCAAAAATATAAGTTGTACAGGCACCAAAGGTCATAGCCATCATTTGGCACAGGAGCTTTACAAATATAAATTACAATGGCAGTTCTAGGACAAAGTATGCAGGAGGAGAAGCATGGCAAATTGGAGATTACTTGGATGAGAAACGAATCACAATAGTGTGCACTGAAAATACTATTTGAGGTTTCAACTTTAAATTGACATAAAAAATTACTTAATAAATTTACATAAAAATAGAATTCAGACCAAACAGTGACGTATTATCATAACCAACAAGACAGATTAAGCCATATCTCTGGATAAACTTATGATATCAGAATGATCCAGTATCAAAATGTAGCTTTTAAAGCAGGAATCTAAAAATGTAGTTGGGTCATTTTGACCAAGTTTGACTTAATCCTCATTTTGATATGTTGGGTCACAGGAGTGAAGCGACGTAATTTTAACTATGCTTATAAGACCCTGAAAGTAACATTAACAAATAACTGCATTTCTGGATAAAAACACAACACATTTCTTATAATTTAGGCTATACTTTTAAAACCTGGCCATTTCTAAAAGCACAAAAACCAAAATTACTTCTCCATCATTTCCAGCTGTTCGGCCACATCTCCTGCTGTGTAGTCCACAACCTCGTCAGCCCCCAGCCCTCTAACGAGGCCTTCAGCGTTGTGAGAGCAGGTGACAGTAACATGTGCACCCCAAGCCTTTAAAAGCTGGCAGTGCATGGACACAAACAAAACAAAACAAGATTTTATTTGCACCGAGAGGCCTCTCTTTCATGACTTATGAATCGATAGTTCCCACAGCTACAGGAATATATTTTGTCTTACTTGAATAGAGAATGTTCCAACACCTCCAGATGCTCCTGTGATCAAAACTCTGAGAGGGGCAAAAGTAAAAAAAAAAATGGTTCAGTTTCTGCATGACTCATTTTCAGCAAAGCTATAAATAGAAGCCTCAAGAGGTAAATATTCTGCAAAACTGTAAGCCTAGGCTATTCAACTGGTGGCCTGCAGGCCACATCCGGCCCGTGGGTGGCTGAAGTTCGGCCCAATAATTGGTTCAATAATCTCTTTTTAAATCTAAACTTACAAGAAAAGTCAAAATTATACCGGTTTTAAATTTGGCAAGTCATAAACTGCGTTTCCATTGAACATGAAAATGCGTAAATTAGAAATTCGAAAATAAATTTGCTCAATGGAAACACGTCAACTTCGAAAAAAATTACGTTTTTCGACAAAATGTTTTTACGCTAGGATGAGGTGGTTTTTCGGCCGTATCGAAATTGTTCTTTTTCGCAAAACTGCAATGTAAACACTTTTTTCACATCACGCGAGTCACGTGATCAACAACCGGCTGTTTCTAGTGGGGAAAAAGACGACGACGAAAAAGATAACAGGAAGTAGAAGTAGTAGTAATATCACAGAAGTAGTAAAAGAAAGTAGTAAACTCACTGACTACAATTTCCCAAAAACATAGCATACGTAGCCACTCCCAAGTATAAGGGACTTGTCGCTGAAAAGCCTCGATAAAAGACACCGACGTCTCCTCTGATGATGAGCGCTACTGTCGTGGTAGCAACAMGCTATGTGTTTACATCCATYGCCACCATGTTTGTAATGAATTACCGCGAGAACAAACATATTCACGCGTGACTTTAATAGCATTTCTTACTTAATGGAAAGTTTTGTGCACATTTGCAATGGAAACGCAGCTAGTGATGTCAAAATATTTGTGTTAAATAATGTGTTATTTTTGTTTTTGATATTGTTTTATTATCACTGCACTTATTACATAGGGTTTTGTATGTTGTAATCATGATTAAATGCAGCAAAATAAACTATTTCAAAGGTAACAGATCTTTGTAATACTTGGTTTRTTTACATAATGACTTTAATTGCTGGATGTTTAGCCCCTGAGCTTTTAACCTGCATTAACTGTGGCCTCCGGAGCAATTTAGTTGAATAGCCCTGCTGTAAGCTAATATAAAAAAAGAAGAGAAACGTGCTAATAGAATATTAAGAGGATTAAACAATTTGACAAATAATTAGAACTATTTGACTGAGATTTTTGTTCACCACTGAGATACAGAGCAAAACAATTCTAAAACCTCTGCAACTACAGTCAAATACAGTTTAACTATATCAGAAACACTACATCTGTTCTGTAAAACAGCTGCTATGAGGATTAAAAGGTTCATCAAAAACTACCCCAAATGAGGCAGATGCTTGCCTTTTATCTGAGGAGTTTTCCCTGCAAAGACCACCTGCACAGACAAGTGCTGACAGGGCAGTATTGGCTACATAAGGGATGGACGCCGCCTCTGTGTGACTCAGGGATGTTGGCTTCAGGGAAACCTGTAGAGACAGACAATACTTCAAAAAGCTTGAGCTGCTGAATAAATTACGTAGAACACAAAAGGAAAACATGAGCCAATTTATGTGTCTCTACAACGGGAGGAGAAACTGCTGCTGCTACCGAACTAACTTAATCCTGATGCGTTCTTACACTACAGGGTCCAATTATATTATGAGTTCAAAGTCCTTTTTTTAATCCGGAAATTTGAGTGACAGTACAAATGACTGTGATTCCTATAGGGAATAATTAAATAAACACATTGCACTCATTGTATTCCACAGACTCTGAAGCTCACCTCATATTCCGTCAGAGWCACATATTCTGCCAGACTGCCTTGTTTCCACGGAGGAATCGCAGCCCACACCTAGAGGACCAATATGACATTTAACAAGGTGAACACAGCTCAAATTAACCACCCACTCGTAGACTCTGAGACAGGATAATCAGATGTCTTAGTCCTGATGGTTCCTGTTGTTCATCACAAATTAGTTCCTTATGGCAAATGCTGTTTATTTGTGCTCATTTATTACAGTACGATTTAAGACAAATATGCTAAATGATGTCTGGAAGAACACAGGAACGTGAACACGTGGGAGAGAGCGCAGCGGGCGTCTGTAATTATGAGTCAGATTCGTGTAACGGCCGAGCAACGAGTCATATTTCCTAGAACAGTCAGTGAACGRTTTAACCCTGAAGTGGCACGCATCGGGGAAGAGCAAGCTAAGAATGTGGGCCATAAATATAAACCCACATAACATCAGGGAAAAAAATTATAAACGCATATGAAGTTAAAAAAAAATAAGACTTTTAATAAATATATTTTATTTTAACTTCAAAGCAAGGGTTTGGGAGTTTGCACGTTCTCCCCACGCTTGCTTTTCTCCAGGGACTCCAGCTTCCTCCCACAGACTGAAAACATGGAGAGGTCGCCTTCTGGCCCAGGCCCCCCCTTGCAAAAAATATCTGTGATCTCAGTGGGATTTGCCTAGTTCAGTAAAGGTTAATAATAATTCAACTTGTTTTGTGTTTAGCCTGAATCACATGTTACTTCTGTAGTAGAAACATATGTAGGTTTGCTTGAACATTTGCTCCACTTTTGTTATTGGAATGTAAAAAATAGAAATTGGGGTAATTAAAAAAAGCTAACTTAATAAGTTGAAATAAACTAAAAGTTAACAGTTTTAKACCAAGCTTGGCATTGTCGTCTTTGAATAAATACTTTACATTGAGGATGGTAGTGAAGTAGCAGGTTCAGGTTCAGTAGCATGAAAATATTTTTCCATCCAGTTCAAGCTAAATAGTTTACACTGTACTGTGAAGGTGCTGGTACTGTGATGTGCCTCTGTTTATTTTGTGTTTCTTCAACAAATGTGTGTGTAATGAAGCATTTACCTCATCACCTGGAGCAAAGTGAGTTACCCCAGATCCACAGTCCACTACCACACCTGACAGATCACGACCCAGGATTAATGGAAACTCACTATAGGTGTTGATTACGGATAATGGCTCCCTTCTCAAGTTCAGCAATGTGGCCCCATAGCCTCCTAAACATAGAAAAGTTCAAACTCAAATTATCATCATGCTTTCATCTGTTTAACATTAGTAGTATTGTGATTATTTACCTCTCATAGACACATCCAGAGGATTTAAACCCGCCGCACTGACTTTTATCAACAATTCATTGGCAGAATTAATAGTTGGTATGGTGATATCGTCTGTGAACTTCAAAACTCCATTAGAACCATACTGATCGATGACCCAGGCTGACATGTAGCTCTGCGGTCTTGAAGGTGAACTGCAGACAGTTCTCCTGAAGCTGCTGCATCCAACTTGGGCTAATGTTCTGGTCCAACCGACTGCTTTTCCGTTAAACAAACACAAGAGTCTTTTTGATGCCATCGCTCTGACAGACCCCATTTAAACCGACTTCTAACAGTCACGGTATAAGGACCACAATAACGTGATGTTTAAAGTTCTTGTTATGTCGACAGCAAGCTAGCAGCTACAGCTAGCATTAGCATGTTTAGCTTATCGGCGTTCAAACGTATCATTAAAGTTTATAACAGCCGAAAATAAATAAGCGACAACAGTCTTGCAAGCGAATTCTGTGTCATATTTCAATTATAACGAAAGTACTGATTCTAAATACTACATACAACGCTTCTCTTTCGGACACATTGCTACAAACTGGCTACCAAATACATTAAACTCTGACCCTAAAAGGTAACCAATCAAATTTTAGTATACAAAAAATCTAACCAATAGCGTAAGAGAGTTGATTCTGACGTAGACACGTTCTTGTTACGTTGACTGTCATTGATTCCTGTCCAAAACATCAGCCATTATCACAATTTCTAATTTAAAAGCAAAAAAACTCTATTCACTATTATGAAGCTTGATTATTAACTACCTATTTGTAAAATCTATTTTGTCTGACTTTAAATAATAATAATAATAATAATAATAATAATAATAATAATAATAATAATAATAATAATAATAATAATAATAATAATAATAATAATTTTATAAACTGGGAATTAAAAAATAGTTCATTGCACTGGCTCCATGAAGACTTAAATATTTAAACTTCATAATGTTGTGATGAGTCTAATATCTTAAAAAGGCAGATGTTTATGAAAAATAAAAGTCAATATGCCTGAATGGTTCACTCAACTCTAAAGTGATTGCTGWGTGCTTCATCCTCTGGAGAGCGAAATGTGCCAATACATAGTGTAGCAAAATCTAACGGGAAAAGAACATGTTAATAAAGAAATCGAGAAAATTTTGAATGAGCATAAATGGAGGAATAAAACAAGACARAAAATCAATGGTTCTCAGGTTTCAGAAACTGAACTATGTGATAAAAGAGAGGCCAATGGCCTGCGACTGTGTGCTCATGATTCAGTGAAACCAAGCAACAAGCAGCAGTGTTTTTAAGCTGACTCCCAGAGGGAGGAGAACACAGTAAAAAATTGGATGCGTTTTCARAGCTAGCTCATTATAGCGGGCCTGYCTAATGAATTATAACACTGCCATGCTACTGAGTCCTGGGTGTCATCTTTCAGACCGGCAACCRGGCAAAAATAAACACTTTAACCTTTACTTGGGACAAGATTGGCATTGAGAGCAGACTTAGCTTYAAATTGGCATTTTCAGGAGAGCCATTTTTTTCCCCCACTGAAACACCATGTGAAGCTTTTCTAGGCCTTCCATCTCTCTCAGGACCTGTGGCCCAAAATCATGCGACTGCTCTAAAAATAACTGATCTAATTTAATTTSGTGATCTCGTAGAAAGGTGGAGTTTAAAGATTAACCCTTGGGTCACCTTGCTGGCCTGGCTATTCAATAGGCTAGACACCAAAGCAAAGGGATGCAAGTCAATTCATCAGAAAAAAAAAAGAATTAAACAGAAAGCCCCAAAATTTTGATGCCGGTAATTAAACAGTGCATTTGTCTGGCTGGCTGTTTTTAGCTCAAATATCATCTTTCATTTCCCTGTTAGTCAGATTACATTCAAATCACCAGGCTGAATATATCATACCTGAACGTAGGTAGAGGAAGAACACATTAAGTTCTGGTCCAGCTGCCTTGATAAAAGACAGGCTTCAGTGAACGCCCTTAAAAGAATCATAAAAACAGAAGCATCACTATCTACTGTACCTGGAACATAATCTGCTGTGTTTACAGAAGAGTATTTGGCCTAGTTAATGAACTTGACCACTGAGTCACACAAAGGAATTTGAGTTTTAAAGGGATCCCCAATCAGCTGCAACATTAGACTTTATTTGATAAACATCTGTTTTAACTGTAAAATAAAGACTGTAAAAATATTTAGTTTTGTAAGTTTTTAAAAACACATTTTAACACGGACCGAGCCATTTTATTTACACGCATAGCATTCTGGGTAGATGATGACGTGGATAGGTCCTCGGTGCGAGGCTGCTAGCGAGCTATATCCACCCTGAAGGTTAATCTTGGACAATATCTGA